AAGTGCTGGCTTTCTTATCAGTATTTCCATATAACGATATGGTACCTAAATGTTTTGAAAAACATGCTGAAAATTAAGGGTATAATTATGTAGATCTGCCTGTACGCATACCTAGCCACTTGCTAAAAATACGAGACATTTCCATAAGCGAAAAATGCTCTTCTAGGCTCCCATTACGATGCAATCTAATGTATAAAAGATAGCCTGCCGATCTGTGACCTCGGAGGATAATCGAGCCGCCGGTCACTGAGGTAGCCGACCGGTCATCGAGCCGTCTTGAGCTCACATTGTGGGGCGCAGGATGGCAGTGCACATTACAGAAAATGAGGCAGACCGGGGCCGACATTGATCTTGTGTTGTTCCGGCGGCGATCGGTGGGCATGGAGACGACTCGGCGTGGTACGCCGCCACGGCGACTCGCCGCGGTCTGCGTGGGACGCCCGACCGGCGCGACGGCGGCGTCTGCGTGCGACAGCGGCACGCGTGGGCGGCGTGGGGGGGGGGGGGCACTTAGCAGCCGGCTCCGTCCGCCAATCTCGTGGTTGTTGTGTGCGGATCGGATGAAAGATTTCGACTCTGGCCTTCTTTCTGTCCTCGGCTTTCTTTCCGTGCAACCGTTCAACAGGTGTACTTTCAAGGTTGCTGGTTTTTTTTCTTTTAGATCACCAAACCGTGATCTTCCTGATGGCTCTGAAATGCTACTCGTGACCGTTTTAATCCATTCGTGTTGTACCTCCCTAAACAGCTTTATGAATCAAACATAAGTTTACCTGTAACATAAGCTAAAAGGGCATCCGAGCTTTTCAGAACCTTCGAAACGTTTATGGCTGTTCGTCTGTGCATCAGACTGGAACGTTGAGGCTGGTCTGGTGACTTGCTTTTCGCTTTCCCGGTCACCGAATCTATTCGGCTGGCCCCGCGTCCTCATTGCAAATAGTGCTTTTTTACTTTTTCCTCGGTTTGACAATATGCTAAAACCGACACCGTTCGTAACCTTCACAAGTTCCTGGATAATTTACGTAGATTCCAAGAGAGCTGATTGCTGAAGACGTTGCAACTTCCTACCTTATCTTAATTAAAGTATGGCCCTCGGAGTAAAAGCAGCTAAAATAAACTTCCCGTCTGACCTTGACCTGTCCTCCGTCCTTAGCCTTAACCCGTGCTGTGAGCAGTGGAAGAGAATTCTGGTTACGGAGCGAGCGAAGCGAGCGTAGTCTCCTTAGATTAAAGGTAGTGTGCCAGCTTTCTTGGACCGTATGGAGTTAATGGCCCAGATAAGGAGAACCGGATTTTTAGAACTTATCCATACCTTCAAAACTCATGGAAACGTCTTAAATTCTTCAAATTTTGAGTACCCCAGTGCGAAATTCGCCCCGACGGGTTGTCGGTCGTACCCCAACCACATTTCACACCACTATGAACAATAAATGCACACACTGAAATCGCTATTACCGATATGCTCATCCAATCAAGTTTCGATAAACCCGTTCATCATCATCTCCTGCGGTTTCGAACACGCCTGTTAGGTGGCTTCTGATGCTCGTCGAGGTCGGAATTTCCAAATACGCGTGGTGCGTCGGGCCGCGCGCTCTGACTTCGGCCAAGAAAAATGCGTCAGCTGATCATTGTCATTTCTGCCACTTGCGTGTGGTGAAATGGGGTCATAACTTATAAGACAGCTTTTCAATACCAATTATTTTACATAAAATCATATTTCAAACCATAAATAATGTTCGACAGCCAAATAAAAGAAACAATACCAATACGGGCTTACAGTTTAAGGCTCGACATTGTGTTGTCTACGATTAGACAGCTGATAACTCATTCCCGTACGTCGTATGGTCAAAACACTATAATGACCTTTGCTTATTGTCACAAGTGCGCCGCATTCGCGATTGTTGCCCGACGCCTGTTTGCAGGTGAGCCCACTACAGTTGTTATACATATCTAAAAACCGAAAAACTTTAAGGCGAAAAAGGCACTATTCCAGGCCCATTTTTGATTTTTTTTTGCGATATTAGGTAAAAACAGAAGCTTCTTATCCTAGGAAAAATAAAATGGGAAATCTTTCAAAGGTGGCACACTACCTTTAACGGAAATTTCTGAGTATGAGCGGCCGGCCGGCCGGCCGGCCGTGGTCACGCTTTTGCGAGGCTTATATCTCAGCAACCACTTGACCGATTTACACGCGGTAATTTTTGTAGGGTAGTTTCATTCCTTCTACCAAGTATTGGACTATTCCCGATGCATGTGGGTGACCCCTTATGCACGTGCCACGTGCAAAACGAAGAGGTGTCACTTTTGTAATTGTTGCAATATCTCGGTAACTACTTGGCCGATTGCGCTGAAAGTTGGCATGCAGGTAGGCACCCACTAGGCAAGGCATATCCATGTGCCAGAGTTGGGGTGCTGCTGCACGTGCGCACGTGCAGGGGTCGATTCCAGATCTCGAGAACGGCTGGACCGATGGCGCTCAAATTTGGTACATGGCTAGGGACCGGTTAGTAGGGTGCCGTGCAAAAGTCAGTTGGGACCCATTTTGCACGTGCGCACGTGCAGGGTGCCGCTTCCAGATCTCGAGAACGGCTGGGCCGATTGTGCTCAAATTTGGCACATCGCTAGAGACCGGTTAGTAGGGTGCCGTGCACAAGTCAATTGGAGGTACCCCCTCGCAATTTCGCACGTGCAAGGCTCACCCTCTCGCTCGCTCCGTTAGTCGCCCCAAAAGGCGTTATACTGGTGTTATTATCGCCACCGTTTTGAGTGTTCACATTCAATACGATTGTTACGGAGCGAGCGAAGCGAGCGTAGTCTTTACTTAGATTAACGGAAATTTCTGAGTATGAGCGGCCGGCCGGCCGGCCGGCCGTGGTCACGCTTTTGCGAGGCTTATATCTCAGCAACCACTTGACCGATTTACACGCGGTAATTTTTGTAGGGTAGCTTCATTCCTTCTACCAAGTATTGGACTATTCCTGATGCATGTGGGTGACCCCTTACGCACGTGCCACGTGCAAAACGAAGAGGTGTCCGTTTTGTAATTGTTGCAATATCTCGGTAACTACTTGGCCGATTGCGCTGAAAGTTGGCATGTAGGTAGGCACCCACTAGGCACTGCATATCCATATGCCAGAGTTGGGGCGCTGCTGCACGTGCGCACGTGCAGGCGTCGTTTCCAGATCTCGAGAACGGCTCGACCGATTGCGCTCAAATTTGGTACACAGTTAGGGACCGGTTAGTAGGGTGCGGTGCACAAGTCAGTTGGGACCCATTTTGCACGTGCGCACGTGCAGGGTGCCGCTTCCAAATCTCGAGAACGGCTGGGCCAATTGTGCCCAAATTTGGCACATCGCATAGAGACCGGTTAGTAGGGTGCCGTGCACAAGTCAGTTGGAGGTACCCCCTCGCAATTTCGCACGTGCAAGGCCCACCCTCTCGCTCGCTCCGTTAGTCGCCCCAAAAGGCGTTATACTGGTATATAAAATTGTATTGCATTGTATATTTTATTGTATTGTAGGGGAGAGCGGGGCCAGTTGAAACGCGGGGTCAGATGAAACATGGCTTTATTTTCAACAGTATGCAACATATGGCGTTGCCGACACCACTGCGCATCCGCGCTCGACCACTTCCTTTGTCAACGGCGTTTGGGCGGCAAACGGACGGTAATTTTGACTTGACACTTGTTTTTGTGTTTTTGAGGGGCGTTTGGGAGAAATCGTTTTATGAATATTTTGTGATATCTCATATACCTTTGTTTGCTGAAAGAAGAACTCCTGGCTCCGGAAAAACACCTTATTTGGCCCTTCATTCAGCATGATGCCGTCCCTCCAGCTCGTTTGACATGTGCTTTACGGCGCGTGCAAGATGGCGGGAACGGATGGGGTCAATTGAAACGCTTCTCTGAGGGTCAGTTGAAACAGGGCCACAGGCCGTTTCAATGGACCCCGGTGACCTTTGCAATGGATATTGTTCAGGGGCTGTAAACATTAAAGGAAATAGTCCACCTTTGAAATGAGCTTTTAAACTGAAATAGTAGTTTAATAGAGCTCAATTTTTGACCCCTTTTTCTCCAGCCTTTTGCTTGAAAGCACACTATAGCCTGAGATATTTCTCATTTTCCTCATCCGCCCATTTTACCATAGTCTATGTACTTTATGTCACCTATTATGAGGAACTTTGCACTTTTAGCTTTCCAACGACCTATTGAATGTAGCATTTGGAAAAGTAAACCGGACAACATATCTCCTTAAGAAAGTGGCCTTAAAGAGGAAAACATCCCATTGTTAAGGATAGGTGCAATTGACCCCATGGGCTGGTTCAATTGACCCTCGCATCGGGGTCATTTGAAACGGGCGTAGAGCTGTTTTATAAGCATGCGTTTGGCAGCAAAATATGTTTGAAACATAATTTTACATATCTTAAAATAAAGCCAAAAGAGCATATTTTTTCATGGCATTGTGCATTTTTCGATATGACAACTAGATCTCGCTGTGCATGTCAATATATAAAAAGTGGTTCAACTGGCCCCGCTCTCCCCTATTGTATTGTATAAATTGTATTGTATTGCGTGTATAACAGTTGAATCAACTCCTAGACTGAAACAATTCCTATCATTGCAGAGATAATCTTTCGCATTTAACAGAGATTCTAAAACTCTTCAACTGATTTGTAACATCGCATAGTCCTGCAAATGAGCTCAGGTTGGTGGGGCACAGCGCTTATTGGTGGGGCGAAATATCAAGTTGGTGGGGCGGCCACCCCAATCAACTGTAAAGGAATTGCTCCGCCCCTGAACAAGAAGTCGATTGAAAACTTTTAAGTAAGTAAATCAAGCATGAAAGTCGCATTGCGAACTGATAATACGTCACCTCAGCTCTCCTAGACTCTTTAGGATCATTGTTGGTCAAAACGCCCGTTTGAAACCATATAAGCCGTACTCTACCACTTCTGCTGAAATCGACCTATCCAACCCATCGCTCTCACAAAACCAGAACCAAGTACACAACAGAAATACGTGTATTCGCCTTCCGAGCACTGCTGTGAGCGTGGCAAACTCTGCCACCGCCATGTTAGCCTGCCACATCGAGCGACACATGGCCCGAGGGTATCCATGGAACATGGAGCGGGTTCCGGAGAGGGAACAGCGAGACGGGGATGCCGCACCGGCAGCGGCGCCGACTGACGGCTTGCCTCGGACGCGCCGGCGAGGTGACGGCGACAGGTTCAGCGCCGGCTCGTCACACGCCCGGGCACGTTGCCGACAGCTCGCGGACACAGAACGCAGAGCCAAGCACACATGGGTCACAGAAAAGCGTCGAATGGTCAACGGAGGTGCCGTCGACACAGATGCCGAGACAAGCGTCGAACACTCATCGAACACTCATCGGACATTCATCGAACACGCACCGAGCACGTGGAGCACAGGGAACACAGAGCAGCGCGCATGGAGCGACCGATCGGGACCGGCTGGGGAGGAGAAAGGGTGGGCGGAGGGTGGGGTACACTGCCACATTGTGGCAACACATAGCGCTACATGGAGACACCAACCGCGGCGCGAACAACGCGCAACGAACCGTCTCACGGCGATGGACATTTTGTGACATGGATATACGGGTTCATGACACGGAACCCGGTGTTACATGGGCGCACAGCGGTGGCGGTTACCTGTGTGATAACATGACGATTGAAGGGGGGGGGGGAACAGGATCGGGTATTCGAAATTGCGATGTGACGGAGTGTGAATGCTGGTGAGTGTGTAGATTTTTAATCATTGACTGGTGAAATATCTGTCGCGTAGTACGAACTTCTATTCAGCACATCACGCATCGTAGTCGTTACCGTTCTGGCAAGAACTTTGTAGTTCGAGATGAGTTTTGTAATTTGATTTGATAATGAAATAACTGGTTCGGGCGGAGGGTGAACATCACGGACGGCAATAAGGTAGCCACTAGCCATGGAGTTCGTAGTCGATGAAACATCGACCTCATTGTTCACATATGCAGAACATACCAACATTCCATACGACGGACGTTTAACAATTAACATAACACGTAAAGCAAGACTATTCACAGAAGTCAGTATATCGCAGCGACATTATGATTTCAGCTCGCTCGAGTCCCGTTCTTCCAGCAGTCTCCCCAAGTTGGAGGCCATGCTGCCTCAGCTCAGTTTTAACTACATCTTTCCATCGACATTGAAGACGTGGAGCACGGATCTTTCCACATGTGATATGTGTTTGACACCTACATCGACACCAATAACAAAACAAATTATCTTCTGTAGCCGCCAATGTACGTACGCTGTACAGACGGAATCGCAATAATCTTCCTTGACAGACAGCTTCAAAAGGACTGCGTTGGTTGGTATTTCGTAGGAGGCGAAATAAACTCGCCTCTTTGTCTCGCAACAAGGTTCTCCCCTGACCTAGCGAGCAAATCTGATTTATGACATTCACCAATCTTGTTGAGGCAAATGCGTTGAAGCTGTCTACGGGGAAGAATATTGCAATCGTGGCAACTGTACATCACACCTAATTATTACACCGATTAACATATTTCAGACACATAAAAGCTGAATCAGTTGTGTGCCATATTCACGGGATTCGAACTGAGCCTGAGACCAGCCATGGGATTCGATGCGCAAGGGCCATAGTTGGTCTCAGTAGTTCTCACGGGGCTCGGAATGTCGACACTGGGATGGATGCTACGACACACACACATACGCGCGCACGGGAGAGAGTGAGAAAGAGAGGGGGTGAGAGCGGGAGAGAGGGAGAGAGAGGGAGAGAGAGGGGGAGAGAGTGTGAGGGAGGGAGAGGGAGAGAGAGAGAGAGAGAGAGAGAGAGAGAGAGAGAGAGAGAGAGAGAGAGAGAGAGAGAGAGAGAGAGAGAGAGAGAGAGAGAGAGAGAGAGAGAGAGAGAGAGAGAGAGAGAGAGAGAGAGAGAGAGAGATGAAAGGGAAGAATAAGAGGGAGAGAGAGACAGTGTGTTTGATCGATATTCGATCACCGACCCACCCGATGTCACCCGTGAACAGTGCATTGTACCAGCGACAAGTAAACACAGATGTATGTGCACCACGAAAATATCTACCTCATGACATTTTTGAAATGTTTCATAGTAGAGCGACATAGCCGCTAAGTATTAGATACAATACATGCATACACGTTTGCTGCTTGGCAACATGAGCACGCACACATCCTTCGGTGCGTGTAAAATAATTCGGTATGACTCTTATTACATTTCAGGCACTCACATAACGACTACACGCTCTGTGACACTGTATACAAGACGGACTTTCACACCATAAAGAGACAGAAGATCATGAGCTTCCCTTTCGGACAGATCCCACATCAGCGCGGCATATACAACGAACAAAAGTACTACGCTCTCATCTATACATAGGCCAGGTGATTAATCGGCTATGCCCTGTTGTCTGGGAAGGCTCCCATCGATCGAGACGGCGGTCGGCGGTGGCCACATTTCCCCACATCTGTACAGCCGTGCCTGCTGCAGGGCACTGAGGTGGCCGCCCCGGGGAGCGCCGGTGGATTCCCGTCAGAGCCCACCGTGCGGCGTCATCGACACGGAGAAAACGTGCCTCGGCTACACGGAGAAAACTTACCAGCCATGCGGACATGGATGACACGTGCACCTGGCCTGCTCTGTTTGAGCCATGAGTGACCATAATTACTTACGACTACACAGAAAGGAACATGTTTGCAAGCTTCAAGCGCACATTGGCTGCCCATTTACTTTTATCCGACTCTCACTCAAGCGATTTTACTTCATTGAAGTGATTTCACTCCATTAAACATCTGTAATCTCGCTGAGCAGACTCGCTCACAGCCCCAAAACACCTGTTTGTCTCGCGCCGTCCACATACACAGCAGTAAAAGCAGCAGCAGCAGCAGCCATAGCAGAACATAAACCTCGACAACAGCAGCCACCGACAGCAGCAGCAGCAACAGCAGCTGTAGCATCCACTTCCACAGCAGCCAAGTAGCAGGAGCAGCAGCGTGAGGTAGCCATGTCCATTGTCCATCATCTGCCGTCACATCATCACACTAAACAATAATACTCTGCTTGTCTGTTTATACCTAACCTAACACATAACTATACAGCCAGTCGAGGGATTCAGTCACCCGATGCAGCCTCAGGCGACCTCCGTCGTCCTGAATCCGGCACGAGCGATGGGGTTGGAGGGGGGGGGGGGGGCTCGATACACCACAGCCAGTTCATAACCATGCAACATATCACAAGGTCATCAAACCTCAAAGTGGTCACGCCCTGTGACCCCGTGACCGCCGGGTCACGCTAAAAAGGTGCCAGTCACTGAGCATAGCTCTCGGGTCTGCACGTGGTGCACAGGTCCCGTTTAGCGCGTGAGCTGCGACTGATAGTTGATGGAGAACGAGACTGCTCCTGGCGAACTGCTCCTGCTCCTGTGCCGGCCGTCTCTTCCGAGTCTCTCTGATGATGTTCGCAGAGAATTTCAGCCCAGCAGCTGCAGTTTCATCGGTGACTTCTCGGCCAGAGAGTCTCATTTCGTTTCGCCTCAGGCCATTGCTCCAGCACTGCAGGAAGAATAAACAGCGTCAGTCTGATAGCAGTTAATCGTGGCCCGGCGACGACGACAGAACGGGCCTGTCTTCAGCAGTTGTCGGCCAGAGCCTCACTATCGTCCTATCCGAACAGCGCTGGGACAGATGTGACAGCGACAAACTGGTGATACGGCTCTCATCTCAGTCCTTAATTAAAATTATCAGCACGCTCCTTTTGTAATGAACTGAAATGAATGATTGTGCTTATAACGCATGATAATGTTTTTTTTCGTTTCTTAGTTAATTGAAGGAGTACCTAAAAGAGCTGTCAAAAATAACTAAAAGCCTTGCTTTTATCGGACGTTTCGTTACGCATTTGATTAAATCACCTATCATGTATGCGTATGCCGTCTTTACGATACTGTTAGCGACCCTCGCCGACTGAGGGAAGATTGGCGAATGCCATCCCTCTGGCGGTTTTGTCGCGATTGCTCGGAATGCGTTAGCGATTGAGCTGAAAGCTCAAAGCTGGTATACCTGACCTTTGACAGTACACAGAACGGATCTTGTGACGCCAACCGCATTTTCTGTTCAGATCTGATCATTGACCCATGCCGTCATACCTCTGCGCGGTCCTAAACTGTCGGAAACTCGCAACGCCCTCAGTAACTACCAGGTAATCTTTTGCAGATAAATGAAACGTACGCAGGATATGGTAAGCTCTCGAGTATTCACAACGTAAAAATCTCAGTGCTTTCAGTTCAGGTCGGTTACGTGACCTCATGTTACAAGTCCATGATGGAAATATGGAAGCTGCTAGTTTCGCGCCAAAAAATTATGCAAGGCTATTCTAAGCAAAAGAAATCGTGATTTCATAACCACCATGAAAGGTCCGATGCCTAAATTGTGGCGAAACAAAAAGTATAAGATTCAACGTGCCCGCGCATGCCGAACACGATGATAGTTACCAAAATCTTGGCGCTGGGATCCGAAGCTGTTTACCGAAAAGCGGACCCTTACCTTGAGACCTTTAACCTGACCACAATAGTCACTGGTCGATATAATGCCTTCAAATTGCGTACGTAACGGGCGCTGTCTCGTAATGGCGCACACGCTCATTTTTTTCCGCAAAGGATGGCTCAATCAGGGGCAAAACGGCGAGGAGGTCCACCAGCTTCCGTGGGGCCTATGTAGAGAGCCGATAGGTAATGAGATTTAAAGCGAACATTTAGGTACATAAGGTACCGTAAACCGGGGTGAGTTGATATGGGGTGGTGAGTTGATATAAATTGCTCGAAAAATGTTAAAATGTGTGCTGCTCATTCATTTGTAAACCAATTTTCAGTTTTATTTTTCTGTGAAGTGAAGCAACCAATGAGTGATGCATATAGCTGAGAAAGGCATGCATGTGGTGCAGTGCCTTCTTAACACATTACTTTTTTTAAAGTCCTTTTTTTCTTCTGATTTTGAAACTAAGGAAAAGTCCCCACCCTACAGCAAAGACGGTGGATATTCATGGAACAACATGCACTGGGAAAGAAACTTCCATCAATTTACTGTTGATCCCAGGTAGTTTTGGGTTTCACCTATAACAACGCTTTTTTATAATTTTAAGAAAAGTGGCAGGTGGTGAGTTGATATGCCATCAAGTGGTGAGTTGATATGCATGATAAAAGCTGATACCAGGCTGGTATGCATGCAAATTAGCATGAAATATGGGTCTGCAGGTAAGACAAAGTCAATTAGACCAACTCTTCTCCTTTTCTTTCCCCACATTATTACATCAACCCCCAAAAGCTTTAGTTTTTTTTTTCTGAATGCTTGAGACGAGGCCTGTTAGTAGGTATCACTGATGTTAGTTGTCGGACTTTCGTCCCCGTCTTGAGTTGAGATGTTAGTTTCACAACGTTTCAGCCAGTAACTTCTCCGGCCATAGTCCAATCTGCCCCGATAGTGGGGTGGTTAGAACCGTGGACCATCACGGGGGGAAACCGGAGCTCGATTCCCGCTGACTACAGGAGCTTTCGAACTGTTTGACGCGTACGGCGCAACGCCACCAACATCCAGGTCCTTCTGAGGGTCAAAGAACACCTGACGAGTGACGACGGCCGGAGAGTAACTGGCCGAAACGTTGTGAAACTAACATCTCAACTCAAGACGGGGACGAAGGTCCGACAACTAACATCAGTGACCCCAATTTTTTTTCTGTGGACATACCTAACATGCAAAAGGCACAGTACAACTCCCTGTGAAGTCTCAAGGTGGCTCCCTATGTACAAGCTACAAAGGAATACTATAGAACACCTATATTCATACAGATCTAAAAAATTGTTATATTTATTCGTAGTTTCCAAAATGACAGAACTGTCGTTTCTGTATGGCTAACAGCGCGGGAATTCTGATCTCGTGAAACTGATTAGTTTTCCTACTTGGCAGTTGCCAACCGAGAATGAGTGACAAAATGAAATGGAACAAACAATATAAAGAAATTGACTGGTGTTTTAGCCCTCGCCGCCCTCGCCTGTATTCGTGTTTTGCCAGCGTTTAACGTATAAAGGGGGGGGGGGGGTCCGTTGCAATCCCATCGTCGTTTGGCCCCTGGTGGAGCTAGAGCTTCGCGGAAAAAAATGAGCGTGTTGCCCAAGACGCGAGGAAGCCGATGATAGCCAACTTTAAGGTCCTAGGTCATTGGTTAACCTTCCAGGCCAGGTCAATTACCCAGAAGTCGGGAAAATAGGAGGTTATTTGAAGTTCGTAAAGCGAGTTTATTATTTTTTAGCTGTTGCTGATCACGAATGTCATGTTAGTTTTGATCACAGATGTCTTCGTACATTTAGGCCAGGTCAGGTCAGGTCAACCAGTAGGTGTCCTGCCGGCTATCCATAGGGAGTGTCAAGTGTCAACTACCACTGACGGTGTCGTAACATGTTACGAAGGCACTAAAACTACTTCGTAAATGATCAAATGCATGTTAAATTCGAAATCGGCCCGAAAAAAACTACCCTAGAAACATGTAAACCTCCAAAAAGTGAACCGAGTTCACCAAAGGTCAATGACCTGACCTGACCTTCAGGTGACCTTGACAGTTGACACCCACAATACTGCGTGGGACCAACATCATTTACATGTTTGGACGTTACAATCACAAAAAGACTGGAAATGCGCGGATAATGTGAGCCGACTACGCCAAATCGCGATTCCGGCCAAGCATGGTCTCGAGAATCAGGTCACAAGTCAACAACCATTTGAGTCAGGGTCATGAAATCTTTAGAACATGTGTAAAATTGATAAACTCGAGAGGTACTGAAAGTTTCGTCGCGATCGGCCGCTTTTTGCGCGAGTTATGTGCGAAAAGCCGAGGTGGTCCGTTCGACCGCCTATAATTGCGAGGGTTAATTTTGGCTTTTGATGCCGAATTCTGTCTTATGTCGCTTATTTCACCTTATAGAATACAGTCCGAATTAGATTCGCTTCACTTCACTTCATTAATGTTTTGTTGACTACCAGTCAACAAAAGCTCAGAAGTATATGTCTTCTTTCATTTCAATCCATTATCTCTGTCAGAGGCATATCAACCTTGACCCGCAACTGACAATGTGTTTTTACTACAAGAAAATACACTTGTAATTCCAAAATAAATTGTCAGTTTTGATACCGTTGGTTTGAGGACACGTGACTAGCCAAGTTCAGAATGTTCTAAATAAAACTAAGTATCATAAAGCGAAAAAATGATGCTGCTAAAATCAAGCCATTTTGATAGCGCTGTGTTGGACATGATTGCGTTTTCATGAATGTGAGGTCTGCTGCCAAACTACTACCATTTTTCTGATGGTTTCTTTCAGGATATGTTCTCTCATCCTTTTTAAAACACTGGCATTTTATCAATTCACCTCTGAGCTTCTTTAGCCGAGAAATTTTGAAAAATCCAAAACCATATCAACTCACCACCCCCCAGGGGGTGAGTTGATATGAACTTTGGCGTTTTAAAAAAGGGGCTTAATATATACATTTTCTATTCATTTTTGCTGATTGCCTCCCCAAGGCATGTGCCATGAAACTGGCGCAGAAAGAATTCCGTAAATGAATGTGGCTTTTAATGAAATCTAGAAAAACCTCAAAATCCATATCAACTCACCCCGGTTTACGGTATTATATATCATACAAATCATATTGCAAGCAAAATACGCATATAACTATACCACAGTTTTTTTTTCTAAGAGGCAGAAAACATTGTTATCAATTGTCTTCAGTTTTCTGACACCATAATGATCTATTAAGGTACTGAGCTGATCGGTATAAATAGCCGTTGAGCTGGTCGTTAGCGTGTATAACAGGGGCCGAGGGGCAGGGGAGGAGTCTTCATACGCGGGATTTCGCGGCGAGGGGGCGTTAGACCGAGACCTTTGGCAGGCACAGGGCGAGCCTAATTCGGGCTGTGGCCATCGGAAGGTTCTTGGAAGGCAGATTCTCTGCAAGCCCAGGAAGCTCGGAAGCCTTACGCAGGCTAGTGCATTGAGGCGAGGGATGCTATATTGAGGTTCTTCGCAGGCACGGGCGGGGGGGGGGGGGGGAGGGGGATTCAGCGGGCTGTCGCAATGAGGAGAGTTCTCTGCATGCGCAGGGAGTGCGCGGGTGGGCAGGCCTCACGCGGGCTGACTCAGGCAAGCGAAGGGATGCTTTATGGACGGTCCTAGCAAGCACAATGGGGTGGGGATGAGCGAGCCTTACACCGGCTGTTTCTATGAAGGAATAGGGAAGAAGGAAGATATTAGGTTCTCTGCAGACACGAGGGCGGAGTGTATGTGTGTGTGTGTGTGGGGGGGGGGGGGGAGCCTTACGCCGGCTGTCGCAGTGATGTGAGGTGCGTCAAGTTGGAGCTCTTGGACGCATCCCGTCTCATGCCGTGCGGCTGTCTCTGGCCGCACAGTGATCTCTGGAAACTCTCCCGGAAACTGCGAGACATGAAGCCGTAGACCACCGGGTTCACCGAGCTGAAAACAAACAAAGAAAGTGTTAGGAATCTTCATGCAATGCCTTGGGAGTGGAGAGATGTGTGATGGTCTTTTGAAGGACAGAGAGAAATCATTTGACGTGCAAATAGTAGCACTTTGATATGAAAGCGAGTCGAGCAAAGAATACAGTGCAGAGCTCTTTTTTAAATTAATTATCAAATATAGCTTGAACGTTCAAAGCGTTTTTTTTTTTAAGTACATCCGCTGGCAACCTTTGTCAACCCTGGCCGCCCTGACCAGGTTCACTGACCTGTTAGCGTAGGCCATCAGTTCAAAGGCGGTCTTCAGGTGTTTGACGGGGCCCGGCACGTGCACGGGAAACACGTCCAGCGACTGGAGGGCGTTGAAAATGAGCAGCGGCGCCCAGCAGAGCAGGAAGAACACCACCACGGCCACCATCATCCGCGTGAGCTGCCGAGGAACGGCGTCAGAGGGTAAGAGGGGTCAGCTGCGAGGTCAGGGCCAACTCTCAGACCATAGCGCCGTTCGCTTTTGCGTCATGCTACGCTGCACACATCCAGGCAATCTCGAGATGGATTAACAGCTTATTTTGTCATGTCATGGAGTCTCGCAAGTCTAAAACAATTTTTAGCCCTGAAACGGTATCGAATTTATCAATGCTAAGGTCCCTCCGACCGAATGTGTAAGACGGAGGACTGTCCTCTGCCTCGTTTGTTTTCCACTGTGGGCTCTCCGGTACTGTTTCTTGGTCACGGCTGACAGTCCTTAGAACAGGCTGTATTGCCCACCAGTGTTCTGCTCGATGCATCAATATTGTTGGTTTCCATGGCAACCGGGCTTGTGTGCGCAGATGGAACAAAGCTCTGTAATCAGTATACCGTCAACCGCAATGTAATATATCTGCGGTTCAGTAGGCGGACAAAAAGCATCGATGGGATTTTTTCGAACAATGAGGGACAACTTCGGAGTACCTACCTAAACAAAATGCATATCACCGTGTCAAACCAATTACAAGACCTAAAAATGGACAAACGTGGGAGGTCGCAGTGGGGCAGTGAGCACGTTAATATCTCCCATTTGAGGATAGGTAGAATCTCGTGCAGTTGACACCGCCAGTCCAATGTTCGCTGATCGCTCTGACGTCTTCAGCTGCAGTGAGCGGCGAGGGGGCCGATTCAGCACCGAATAGGCACCCCGCGGCCAGAGGTCAGCACAGAGCCACGGCTCGCCTACGCGGTACGTCCTCAATGGTCAATCAGTCCGGCCGAGCCACCCGCCAGAGCGGCCGGGGTAAGCAAAAAACGGCCGCAAAGGTCCTCTGTTGGGGTGCGGACGAAACCGACGTGGTTTTGTATGTAAGGGCGGCATCGGTCCAACGCTTGTCGGGTGGTTGTCACTCCAAGATGAATGAAGAATGTCAAATAATTAGAAAGACATAAATCTTTTAGCCAGAGGCGGCGAAAGTTAATTTGGGATGGGGGAGGGGGGGGGGGGGCACGGTGCCTCGGTCAGCGGTCCACTCCAACCCACTAGGCATATACCTACAGCGAGGGCGCTGTATTCCCTGTATTCCCGCGGTTTTCTGACTGCCACAACTGCCACATCCACATTCGAAGGCAGAACAACTTGTTTCCTTTGAAGTTTGAACCAATGGCGTCATTAAAATTAGCCAATTATTGCAAACTTTTTTGGTTGGTAACATTGCACTGCAAAATGCTAGCCAATAAGTGTTCAAAATACAGGGTGATTTATAGGTGATAGGCTAAAGCCTATGCACCTTGACCTTGATATTGGCACTATATCGCTATATTGATAAAGGAGCATCACTGTTTGACCTTGCCATCGGTCACTGAATGCTGTTGTACCTACAGAAGTTTTACGCAAAGTCGCACGCCACTGCGCTAATTTCATTTTGTGGGCGGGACGAACCTTGGAGTTAAGCTTTAACCCGCGCACCGACGGGGGGGCGGATATCCGCCCCCCCCTGAGGTTTTTCGCGAATAGCGGGAAAACCGCGGCGCGTAGCGCCGCGAAATTTGGTATGACTATAACCTAATCAATTTTACACATGGTGTGCAAGTTTGAACCTCCTACCTTTTAAGGTCAAGTCACCAGGTCACTTTGAATGACCCAACCTCAAGTCACTTTTTTGCAACTTTGTCACCGTGCCAGAGCTACAGTAGATGTCGGAGGCCCTTGAAAGTCGCAGGATGTTATGAGGTCATTAGTAGCTACAATTTGTATATCTCGGAATTTTGATATCGGTGACCTAAGGTCAGGTCAATTTCGCGACCTCCCCATTATAAGTCAATGGGGGAAAAATCAACTCCCTGTTTTTACCACTAAAACGGGTCGGAATGGCCCCATATACCATACATGACTTCATATACGATCAACCTTCACTACCTTGAGGTCTGTTTTGCTGTTGGGCAGCTGTGAGGTCATGTGACGTCATCAAAGGTCACCAAAGGTTTTTGGCCAATAACTCCGTACAGGAACAAGATACAGACGCGTGGATGGTCTCATTGTGTTCAGCTCGTCAAGACGCATCGAATGATATACATGATGACCTCGAGGTCACGTGACCTGAGGTCAACCTTTGACCTTGACCTTTCGAGGTCAACATATATATCATTCGATGCGGATTGACGAGAGGATCACGATGATGCCCTTAGTTTGTTCCTATCTTGACTAATTCGAAAGTTATTCGAGAACAACTCTCTCCATATCTAGCGCCGCCATTTTGACTTTTTCGACCCCTGTGACGTCATCTTTGACCTGACCTGAAAATGACCTTAGTAAAAATTGTAGACCTTGGCCGTGCGTATCCGATGCCGTTTACCGCTTGTCGCTATCTCGCTTCGTTTTCGAGATCTCAGGGGGGGGCGGTCATCCGCCCCCCCCGTCGGTGCGAAGTTGGCGCAGACCCCCGTCGGTGCGCGGGTTAACTTTTATGCAATAGGGTTGGGACCTATCTGCATGCTCTGTATGTTTTGGTAAAATAAAAAAGTTCAGAATTTTTAATGATTTAATTTAAAATCACTTTGTTAAAAAAATGCCTAGTTAGTTCAGAAACTAATTATTTGTGGCTGAAAACAACTTGCTTCTGATTGGTCGGGCTAATCATGACGTCACATGTAGGTATATAACTGTCTGTATATTTGGCGCAGTTGAGACATACATTTTCTATGTATTTTCCTATGGTAAATCGGAGTGATTGGTCGTGTTTTCAGTGTCTCTTTATTTTGCGCTGGTATTGCGTGGCTAAGAAGTTTTATCAAGAATGGCATATACTAAAATGTTCCTTTAATAATGGAGCTTTAATATCTGTGAGTTTTATTGGCAAGCGAAAACTGATTTCGCTGTTATTTTATCTGGAAATTACTCATTTTTTTAGGTCAATATTCAAAATATTTTACGGGAACAAGTTGGCACTTTTCTTGATTTTTGCACTCAAATCGCGCGCGATTCAACTGTATTGGAACTTGCAAAGAAGCTTGGTGATTAATTAACTGTGTTGTTATGGCACTGTTTGCAAAGCATGGATAATGAAAACTCTGCCAAAGACTTAGCTACATAGCAATGCCTCAAGTAATACGCGGGAGGAACAGAATTCAGAGTCCGATCGAGAAGAATCGGTGCAAATGCTACGAAGACCAGGCAGCTCTGATACAATAGCTAGTCGTCTCACTACTCTCACTCCATTAGACCAGCTGATTCCTGACAGCACCGACTCGGATGCAAAGATGGAGCTCATCTTCCAAGCCAGAAACCAGTTCTTTGATGGAAGATGTGATGCTGCCTCTGTCTCTGCTTTGTTGGCCATTTTGGACGGGGCGGAGCTCCGCTCCTTGCGTGAGCGGTTATTCGCCTGTCATCCTATGTATACTATGTATCCTATGTACATGTTTGTATGTCCTATGTATGTTTGTTTTAAAAACGTTGCAGCGGCGCTGGGAACTGCAGTCTTAGATCTGGGTATGTTTGGCATCTGCAACTCTTCATATACACATTAACCCTATTTCGGACGGGGAGACCTTTCAGGATTTTCTTGTACAATTGCCAAACGCCGCGAGACATTCAGCTCATATTTGGTGACTTTTCCTAAATGCTCATTGCGCACATCTCAGCAAAAAAAAAAAAAAAATGCCGGGTCAGGTCAGGTCAGGTAACCAGAGCGGGTTTGTTGACCCCACCTCAGAAAAGTTTGCAAACACGTCAGAGCTTGAGTTTTTCACGAAGTTATTTCCTCTCATCAAGTCTTCAAAACAGTACCTGCAATATGTGTCGTTTGTATATCTCAGAATTTTTGATCTGTGACCTGAGGTTAGGTCAGAGTCGTGACCTTTACATTGCAAGCCTATGGAAAAGTATTGAAATGCGACCTGCACCTCGAGTAAACGAGTCAAAACCACCCAATTCTTTAAGAATTATGACAAATTATCTTATCTGTAATGATCCAGGTGCCATTTACTGACAGGGACACCGGAGAGGGTTATCTGAGCCGAGATCATGTGAGGTGATATCTACCATACATCAATGCTCACAATACTTACAATATTGACAATGCTTTTGCTTACAACACTTACAATACTTACGATGAGACCCGCAAGCACTCTGCCGTTACAGTTCTAACTTCTGCTTCGAAAACCGACGTTACACACATTCGCTGCCAGCATAACATGTATTGTTTGACAGTAACAAAATACAATTGACATCTGAACCCCAAACGGACCGCCATCCACTCAAATTTTATAACCCTGACCGGTCAGGGGGCGAATGGAGGTCATTTCCTGGGCATTACACTCAGCCCTTGCACAAAACATCTCACCTCACAGTGATCATTACAACAATAGCACCGACTTGATAGTGGATTTCAAAGTAGGTAGGTACTTGCATCAGCTCTTCCTGCTATTGCAGACGATCAACTCCTCAGGGTAATGTTGTTCGGGACATGAATGAAGATCGTTTTCGGAGTTTCATAAGTGCTACTGCAACAGCCTGGCACAAAACAGGACTTGTACGCTCTTCTCTGCACTTTGCCCTTCAGTATATCACAAAAGAATTGTTTAGAATCCATCTTACGCTTCTTTCACAGTCTCCCTTGCCACCGTAGGGCGTAGATAGATTGCTGTTGCTGGTAAGTTAAGGCACGGTAGATAGAAATTACCTCGGTTCTCAACGCCTTAAGTTATTTTCATAAAAAGAACAAATAAATGATCAATAAGATGATTATGAGCATATTTTTAATTGACCGAATCCTCAATGTAATCTGAATAAAATGACAAATAGCAAAAATTCGGGTATATTCGATCACAGATCTTTGTCAACCGATACCAGCAGGCGCCACAATTGTAGATGTCAAAATACTTTTTGTTCAGTACACATGCACAACAGTAGATATGTCCTCAGGGAAAAGATTTATGGTTGGTACTTCTAAAAGTCGCAGC